TTTGTTTGTTTAATTAGAAAAAAAAACCGACTCCACTAAATCGCGATTATCTCGAAACCTTGATTTTGAGAAAATGCGTTTTATCAGATCACGGCAGAGCAGTAGTCTAGAGGGGATTAGAACGAGGTCGCTCAAACCCTATAGCAGCGTCAATCTACTAAACTGTCTTTGCCAATTATTTTCAGGAGTTTCCAAGCATGAACATTAAAATGTATTCTTTTATCAGTTTGTTCATGAAGCAGTGTACAAGGGACACACAGAACTGTTGTTTTTTCTCCATCCCTCTGTCTCTGTTTGTCTGTCTGTTTGTCTGTCGGTGTGTGTCTCTCTCTCTCTCTCTCTCTCTCTCTCTGTCTCTCTCGGTCCGTTTCTGTCTGTCAGCTATCCCCTCTGTCACATTTTACTCATACTCAAAACAAAGCACTTTGAATAATGGAATGGAAATAGAAAAGCGACGAAGAAAAGATCTAAAGCAGAAACAAAATCATTGAACACCAGGAATAATCTGTATTACGTTTTTCAATTAATCAATCACATTTTGATTACAGCATGTTAAACGAATTTAAAAGTAATTAACTTAGCCCGTGCAGCGAAGCGAGAAAGTAAAGGCTATTTTAAATAATAAGTATTAGACTTTCGTCGTCGTTTCAGTTGTTATAGACCGAGGCATGAGCTGCTGTCTTCTTCTTTGTTCCACGTTTAAGACATGAGTTCAATTCCCAAGTGGAGTATATTGTCATATTAATTCCTATTCTGCCTAGGTTGCTTCTAACTTGCTGGATCAAAGTAGTCTGCCTCCTATTTCTTTTATCTACAGTGTGTCGATGAAAGAGTTTAATTTGTTTAGGCGTAAAGCATTTCGTTCTTTATCAACGCAAACTAGTATTATTATATCGTGCGGGATTTCCTTTTTAATCTGAGAGCTTTTACGACCCCATCGACACAAATTATGTCATTCACCGGGCAGGCTTTGACCCGTCCTGCATGCCAAGGCCAACCCATGCTGAAAGGGATACAACCTTCCAGCAAAAAGACTGGGGTACTCGACAAAAGTTCTCCTCACACGGGAATCCAACTCGGGTCTTCTACGTGTTAAGGTGAAGCGCCTGACTGCTACACTACAGACACCGATCACTCTGGCTTATCCAGTCTGTCATTTAATTTCTCTGCTTTTTTATCGATGGCTCCTTTGAGAGAAAACTGCACTTCTGTTTCGTGTACGTTTAGAAGTGTCAGTATGTTAGTGTGTTTGGAGCCTGTACAATGGCAGCTTGCTCGGTATTCTTTCAAGGAAGTTGAGATTGTTTCCTAATGCCATAACGTCTGCTGGGGTAATAATATAGATTGAAAAGGTCTTAGAGCTTGCTGTTGAGTGGAAATTTGCGCTATCTATTACTATCAAGTGTCTATTTTGCTTTTCATTACTACCATTACATTGATCCTTCACCTTCACCTTCACCTCTCGCGTAGACTGGATGTCCGTCTGGGCCCTTTTGAAGATTTGGCCACCAGCTTCCTCCACTCCTTCCGGTCTTCAGCTTTCCTGAGCGTGTCTTTGGGTTCCAGGCCTGTCCATTCCTTAATGTTGTCCTCCCAACTCTTCTTCCGTCCGCCTCTACTCCTTTTTCCCTGGACGCTGCCTTGCAGGATCATCTTGGCAAGGCCTGATGAACAGGTGATGTGTCCATACCATTGCAGTTCGCGTTTCCTGACTAGAGTGAGAAGGTCAGCATATGGTCAGATTCCATTTTTGATTCGTTGTTTGACTTCATCATTTGTGGTGTGATCTTTGTATGAGATACCAAGGTTTTTACGGAAGCATCTCGTCTCCACAGCTTTGATCCTCCTTTCAAGGTCTGCATTCAAGGTCCAGGTTTGACACGCATACAAAAATACTGACTTGACCAGGAAACGCATCAGTCTGATCTTTGATCTGATGGTGATATTTATGTCATTCCAGATGGTTTTTAACTTGGTCATTGCTGCTGAAGTTTGCTTTTCTGGACATTATTTCTGGTTTTGATCCTTCGTCTGTCACAATTGCGCCCATGTATTTGAAGCTGCGTACGGTCTCAAGCCTCTGGTTGTTGACCTGAATGTCCACTGTGATGTTATTCCATTGGTGGCATAAGCTAAATTTGACCCCCAGTCTTGAAATGAGGTTAACGCGTTTTCCGAACATGACGTCACGCCTACCCAAATGTTATTTAACACTACAGAGAGTGGAAACCCAGAGTGTGCGTGCCAGGTCAAATAAGAACGAACGGGGGGGGGGGGGGGTCTAAATTTCACTTTAATACATTATTGGCACTGCAATGTGTTTTTAGTTCGTTAAGAGTAAACGCCAACATGCATTGTTGTATTGTTGTTATGTAAACAACTTCAAACTTGAACATTGTTTACTTGAATTCTGTTCCTCATCATCTGCCATGGTACTAATAGATAGAGAGCTTTGCGCCTTTTGCTCTCCCAGCACACAAAGAATCAATTGTTGGGCGGAACTTATCTTGGCAGTGTTTGTATGAGCGGGCTATGAATGGAGTTGTTCCGTGCGGCTGAATTAAACAGAACCGGTGTCTTTGGTGAAAGGGTAAGGCACCTTGCTGTCGCGCGCAGAAGGCATGAATTCAATACCCATTTAGGGAGGTGGGTTTTTTTAAATAATTTATTTGTTATCGAGTTTCTCCGTTTATCTACAAAAATGTTGTATCTTTATCAGCTCATACTGACCTTGCTTGAACCAGCTTGCATCCGAAATGCTGCAATGTGTGTCTATGGGTGTGCACAACCTCTACAAAACGTAAATAAAAAGAAATGGACTGAATCGAAGAGGGGACCGCCAGAGGAAGGAGTCAAAGTCAATCGTTTGAATCATCTCACATTCAAGTTAGATTGGAGAACTACAAGTCTGAAGTCGCAGTGAATTAGTTTGTCCCAACACAAGTATTGTCTCACTAACCTTCCCCTATCCCAACTCGCCTCTTCCCTTCTGTTTATTCATGTGCTTCTCTATGTATGTGTCCACCCCTCCCTCTTTTTTTTCTCTCACATGCTCTCACATTCTCTCTCCCTCTCTCTCTCTCTCTCTCTCTCTCTCTCTCTCTCTCTCTCTCTCTCTCTCTCTCTCTCTCTTACTGCCCCATCCCTCTCTCTCTTGCATCTCCTTACCAGACTGTCCAGATAGATAGATAGATAGATAGATAGATAGATCGATAGATAGATAGATCGATAGATAGATAGATAGATAGATAGATAGATAGATAGATAGATAGATAGATAGATAGATAGATAGATGGGAATTGAAATTAAATGTCTTTTACAACACCATCGACACAATGTAGGTCATTCAAGAGGCAGGCTGTTTTCATCATGTCTGTTGTCAAGGCCAACTGGGGCTGAGAGTGATACCATGTCCCAGTGGACAATCGGAGATAGGGTCTCTGTGTTTTTGTGTAATATGCCTAACTACTGCAATATAGACGCCTAGACAGATTCTAACCCACGTCCGTAAAATACATCATTATTTTTTTCTCTTTTTTAAAACACCAAATCAACAAACACTGAATATAAGTGGTGCTGCCTTCCTGGAGTTATTAAAGCACATATGAACACGGGAAAAAAGTAGTGAAAACTGCCAAAACAAAACAAAAAGATAATTCCGCTAATATCAAACCTGTCGTCTTGCCCCTCTAGGTTTAAGTACAATAATCATGTCCGTAGTCTGATGATTAGTTTCTGGATCAGTGGCTAAACAGGCAGTCTAAGGCTTACTTACGCTTTGACTAATTGGCTTGTTTAGTCGGATGGCTGGTTCGCTTTCTGCTTGCCGCGTCTTTTTTCCCGGTCGGCCATGTAGGATGAATGGCGCTTGTGATTGGTTTGTGCTTCAGTCTTTTGTCGCTGAAGAGTTTCATGACAAGTTTGACGTTTTCAAACGACGAGCAGACGCGCTAAGAAGCTTTCTGGACTCTCCAGCTCAATAAGAGATAGGGGTGAGATTAAAAAGAGTCAGTTGCCACGTCCGCCCGAGAGCTTAACTGTTTAAAGACGAAGCGGACACGTAATATTGTGAACGATCAGCTTCAGACCATAGGCAGTGTTACAGCACATTTTAAACAATTATGCAGAAATCAGAAACACCAATTTGCATAGTTCATAGGATGTATGTATGCTTTTGTCTGCTTTCTTATGTTTACAATAATGAAAATATTATATTCTAAAAAGGTGGACGAATAACGGGCTTCTTCTTCTTCTTTTTTTTAAATCCCTAAATAACAGCAGTGTCTTCAGGTGTTGTGGAAGAACCAGAAGGTGTGTCCTGCTTTTTTTCTTCTTTTTTTTAAACCAGTTTTCTGCTTATAACTGTTCGCCCACTGGACTGTTCAACTCGTCAGCAAGGAATTCGCAGTGAACGCAGCTGCTCAAATCAATTTTTTTAATTCAACTTTTAAAATAACTAAAGCCAAGTTCTTAAAAATGTCAGTTCTTTAAATTAAATGGTCGCTTTGAAGCACAAGGGGGCTATCTCGAACAATGCTGTTTTGGGAAAATCGAAGGTAAAGTTTTCGCCCCTTGTTCAGTTTCATTAAGAGACAAGGAGAGTTTGTCTATAACGAAACAAGTATACACACCAATGAAACCAAACTTCTCCTATAGGTAGGGCAATGTCCACTTTTGGTGTAGGTCAAGAAACCCCCGAAATCTGGGTTAGCCCGCGTGTCCTTAAAAGCAACCAAATTTCCACAGCCAAAAAGGACTTTTTTCGGGAAAAAGAAATATTGTTTTTATTCCTTTAACAATACACCTAGGTTATGAGAGGTTTTTCTTTTACTTAAGTTTACTTTTATTATCAATATTTTTTTCTTTAAAATTTGAATTATTACCAAATATTTTTCGAGCGAAAGCAACCAATACTACAGGTTAAGAAACTACGATGAAACTATTCCACATAATGGGCTTAGTAGATCTGAACAGCCTGCCGACAACACAGTATTACAAACGTGTACAATAATCGTCTCTTTTCCAGAATTCACTTCACCCTGTCCGTGGTGATTGCCGTGACCTTTTGTGCCATCATGTGCGAGGCGAACTTTTGCAACATTTACCTGGCCCCGGAATCGGAGGCGAACGAAAACGCGAAGAAGGAGCTGAAGAAGCGACTACAGTCAGAGTACAAAATCTATTCCAAAAACGAGTTTTCCATGACCTACGATTTCATATCAATATGGGTAAACAATAGCTGTAGCTGCCTTTTCAGCTTTTCTTCGTTACAATGGTGTAATTTTTAGTTTGTCAATGTAATTCGCTTCACATGTAATAAAGACAAAATCCCGCGTACATATTATAATTTAGATCTAATATTAGTCTTTATTTCAGCTTTAGGATCATTAGATTAAAAATAACAGTTTCTCGAAAGTTGAGATCACTCACTTTTTCTAGAAGGTAGCTTCTGTATATTTTTCATTTGTGTGGGTCAGTGAGTTCTGTGTGAGTATAATTGTGTCAAAGTGCATGCGCTCGCGCGCGCGTGTGTGTATTTGTTTACTTGTGTGAGTAGCTTTGTGTGTGTGTGCGTGTGTGTGTGTGCGTGTGTGTGTGTGCGTGTGTGTGTGTG